AAATATTTGCTGTTGGTTAGCACAGAGCTCCATGCTTGTCACATTTTCCTTATTCAGTCACGATCAGCAGAGCGTTTGATAATTCGTATGGGTTGCATGTGAGGTTATCGAGTTATTACACCTTTTCATTTCAAGTCCAATTAAAACCTAATTATCGATGTATGTTAGCAACTTGGTATCAAAACTCAGGCTGGTATTGAAGGGTTCGTGTATTTATTTACTTGTTAATTTTTTGGAGAAAAAAATGAAAACCCTTTAACTGTTACATTCTCTGATTACACGACCCGTTCGAGTTTTATCACTTTATAAATTTGGCAAAATTAAATCTTCTGAAAGATCAATATTATGTGAAAAATATAACATATAAACTTTTAGGAAGGTAGAGTCCTCCAAAATTAAAGTTTAAGATGTCATTATTATATTTATTTTGTATCGTTCCCTCCCGTTGGTGTCTTCCTTTCACCCATCATAGCAGAGATCTATATTCAACAACTTGAAGATACAGCTATATTAATATCTCTACAAAATAACTACTTTGGAACAAATATGTAGATTATGTTTCGCTTTATGGCCTCTTCATCTGGACTGTCTTCATGATTTCCTTCGTAATTTCAACAATCAAGACCAGCTGTGCAGTTCACTTCTCAAATTGAAAACAATTCCTTACCATTCCTGGATGTGAAAGTAGCCAAAAATGAAGCTCAAGCAGGACCTACATCATCATTTTACAAAACTAATTTACACGCTAACAAGAACTAAACTTATAAGTCAAACCACCCAATTCAAGTAAATAAAGATACATATAAACACTAACTAATCGATCTTCGAAAGACAACTTGGCAACAGAAATCAAAGTTTATTCAAGAAACGCTTATATAGAATAACTATCCTAAGATATTAGTGAAGGATAAAGTAAAATCTGTTCTCAACAATACTTCTCCACCTTCAAAACGTACAGACAATGATAAAATGATTCACGTGTAATGTGCACCAAATATTGTGGGAAAAGGAAGACGCGTTTTTATTAAAAAAAAATATATATAACATAAATATTGTTTTCGAATCTCAACCTACTCTTACCAAACATTCCTAACCAAGTCAAGTCAATCTCGAATCAACCAAACAAATGTGTTTTATGATATTAAATGTGAGTGCTCAAAAGATTATTTTGGGGAAACCGAGTGACCGATTAATATATGGACGCCAGAACACTAAAGAGATATCAGAAAATGTAATAGAGATAGCCTTGGCTGCTCAACGTTCCTGGAGGCCTGAGGTAGATCTTTATATTGGTGGCCCTTATTTTAACACCAACTGTATTCAAACTTTTATATATATTTGTTTTCTATATGACAAATCAATTAAAGCAAAAAATTCATATATATATGTATCACAACAGTTGTATTCTCTTATTGTACTTTTTTAGTGTTTTTTGTCTTTAGTAGCCTTTATAAAAGGATAAAATTTACAATAGAAAAATAAGAAAAATGGTTGTATAAACTTCCTAAACATAAACTTAAAGAAAAAAACCTTCAATTTTAAAATACACAAAAAGAAAACACACGATGGAATCTATATAAACTGGTTTTCAATACACAATAAAAAGTAAAAATTGTAACATTAAAGATTGTATAATAACAGCACTGAGACCATGCACCAAGGAAAACATGAAAAACGAAATTCAA